TAGTTACCCAGGTGTTGCATATGCCTCTTTTTCATCAACTTAATGCAGCTGCTGGCAACAAGAGTCAACTGAGTTGGTCCGCAATAAATTTCTTTATCAACACGTTTGGGTTGCTGGCTATCTTCCCAGTCTTGTACTGTCTGGGAGATTACTTTCTCACGTATGTATCAGCCATATGCATCTTGCACACGGACCTCATTAAAAAATGCCTGGCACCAGTCTGCGAGGATTGCCAGGTTGCATTGTCAGTCTTATCTATCAGTGGGTACCTGTACAGCCCTTGTGGCTTAGCGCTTCTTTTTGATTATAATATGTGGGCACACACTTCAGATGTCTCCAACACACTAACTGACCTTGCTGAGTGGTGCTGTATGACCCTTGTGGGTTTAGTGCTTAGTTTTGATAATAATAATAATAATTTATTATTATTATAATCAAAAAGAAGCGCTAAGCAATAATAATAATAATAATAATAATAATAATAATAATAATAATAATAATGACCTTGTTGAAAGTCCCACCTTTGATGCTGACTCTTCAATTTTTGAACAACCTAACTTAGTGCACCAACTTTGATATTTTACCTTTTGCACTCTCCACTACCCCCCCCCCCCCTTCTTCCCCTGTATCTTACAGCTAGCCTTCAAATAATAAGATATTACAAGAATCCCAATGGAGATAAGTCACTTCGTCTGACTTTTTTTTTTTTGTTATCCTAAGTAGTTTACCTCACAAAGAAGGTTGGTTTCTTGACAGAAAAATAAACACTAATGCAGTACAATGCAATCCTTTATTGTCTATGTTTCACCCACACAGTGGGCTTTATCAGGTCACCAACAGATCTACCTGGGTCAAGCGTACATGAATATATATAGTGTGGAGAGTCTTGGATTAGGTTGGGTAAGGTTTGTTAGGAAACAGGATAAGAGTCTCCTGCTGCAGGTCTTAGTCAGATGATGACCCACCATTGGAGCTTTTGGTCATCTGACTGAGGCCTTCAGCTGGCTTACCGGTCCACTCTTTAAAAATTATGGTCAAAGTTATAACTATTTCCTATAAAATTTTTGTGGAGTCTCCTGACTCCACACTGTATATAGGATCATCACTACCTGAGGATGGAAGGCAATCAAGAAGACTAACCTAGTTATAATCCCTTGAATCAAGAGCCCCTTCACCAGCATCAAGAAATCTTCTCCCTCCTTGAAAGTATGATGGGGTAAGAAACAACAGGTGTTTTGTCTCACATAATTATCAAAGTTAATTATCATCCTCAGGTGTGTGGGTGGTATTACCTGCTGCCTGGAGTCATAGCATGAACCAGTTCAAGAAGAGTGCCAAAATGTGTCTGATGAATGTAGCTACAGAAAGGGAGGGGGATGATTATTTATTTTTTAGCTAACACAAGTGTAATTTTACCTTATTCCTAGTAATGGCCCTCGTATTGTAGATAGTCTCTCCAGGTAAACTCCAGTCTTAATGACCCTCGTGTAGTAAATAGTCTTTTTAGTACAATAATATGTTATCTTCATTAATGAATAATAAGAAAATATTATAACCTGTATATTACAATAATAATAATAATGTAAAAGGACCCCCAATGGAAATAAGTCACTCTGTCTGACTTTTTTGTGTTATCCCAGGTTCTCTACACATATGCTGCTATGTATGATAATCTATGTAACTGTATTTATGTATACCTGAATAAACTTACTTACTCGCATCTAAGCTTACACTACCACCATCTTCCGCATTGCCATAGTTATACCGAAATTTTAATTTTAATCCGAATTTCCGAGTGTTTAACGTCATTATATACCATCTGGGAGCTATTACATTGCCTCATTATGTTGTGTCAATAGGCATTTCCACCAAAGAGCGATACAGGGATACCTTTCTTGGATCAATAAGGTACAGGGTTATGAGATACAGGGGATACTTTTCACCCATGAATAAGGTAGAGGGGACTTGAATTATGGTATACAGGGGAGATACCTTTCTCTGGTAGCTCAGTGTCCAATACACTTCTGGTTAAAACACTCATAAAGAACGACATTACTTTGAATTACAAATAGTTTTATTTTAGCTGAACACAACTTTATTTCTAGAAGATTAGAACCCTTGTAACTTATTCATGGGATATTAAATTGTAAACTGAGATATACCTTGTATATAAACAGAGGTATCCCAGTTTATATACGCATTAGTATGTCAGTGTATATACGCTGAGAGGTGTACATCTCAGTACGTATATACCAGTGTATATAGGCCTACACAAACATCAAGCCCCCCCCCCTCTCCCGCTCCTCTTAAGAGGAAATAATTGATATTTTTCTTGCGTCTGTACTAAACCAAGTTAACTTTATAATATTTAAATATTAACCTTTGCTTATAACTTTCTTCATGCAGTTGTACCATTTACTTATTCCATCTAGCTGTGGAAATAAATGGTATAAAATACCGACACAATGGAAATATAAACACAAATGCAGTATAATGTGATCCTTTATTGACAACGTTTCACCCACACAGTGGGCTTTTTCAAGTCACACACGGATCTACCTGGGGTTGGAAGGTACGGGAGTATTTATAGTTCAGAATGTTGAGGTCAGGTGGAGAATGCTGCATCTGATGATCTACCGGGTGGGGTTATAGAGTCTTGGGTAGCTTGGCGGGGATATTGGACAAGTTGTGAGTAGACCTTCTGCAGTGTTCTATGTTCTTATGTGGGATAGCGATGAAGAAGTTTCTTGGCGAGTGGTTCAGCTATGTTATAGAAGCCATTGTTCTGGTTGAAATTGTTGGTTATAGAGATGAACGATGATTCCAGGATTCTTCTGTATTGAGTGTTGTCTTCTGTGGCTATAAGTCTTGAGTTTCTGTAGTTAATTAAATGGTTGTGTGGGTGAAACGTTGTCAATAAAGGATCACATTATACTGCATTTGTGTTTATATTTCCATCTAGCTGTACCATATAGTTGCACCATCCACTTGTATCATGTTGAAAATGGTATAAAATAATGACAAGATAAAGATTAAGACGCATATGCAACAGTTGGGTATCTTTATTGATGAAATGTATCACCTACACAGTAGACTTCTTCAGTATCTGGCTGAAGCCTACCGTGTAGGCGAAACGTTTCTTCAATAAAGATACCCAACTGTTGCATATGTGTCTTAAATCTTCCACTAGTACCATCCACTTGTACCATCCGCTTGTACCATCCACTTGTACCATCTGCTTGCACCATCTGCTTGTACCATCTGCTTGTACCATCCGCTTGTACCATCTGCTTGTACCATCCACTTGTACCATCCGCTTGTATCATCTGCTTGTACCATCCGCTTGTACCATCCACTTGTACCATCCACTTGTACCATCCACTAGTACCATCCACTTGTACCATCCCACAATTAATAGCTTGGGATGTGGGTCATTTCAGCCTCTCATCTCTTATCAATTATCTGTTAAAAAGTAATTTCGACAGACAAAAAAAAAAAAAAAAAAACTTTCCTTGAAATGTACGACGGTACTTCATACACTTACAATTACGTAACATACAGTATGCATAATTACTACAATAAAATATATAGGAGCAGAAGCACAGGAATGCTTTCACATGTTGACTTTAGGGCTCTGGTGGCCTGGTGGTTAACACTCGCTTCACACGGTGAGGGCCTGGGTTCGATTCCCAGCCAGAGTAGAAACATTGGACGTGTTTCTTTCCACCTGTTGTCTATGTTCCCCATCAGTAAAATGGGTACCTGGGTGTTAGTCGACTGGTGTGGGTCGCATCCTGGGACACTGACCTAAGGAGGCCTGGTCACAGACCGGGCCGCGGAGGCGTTGACCCCCGGAACTCTCTCCAGATAAACTCCTGTCTATGGTTGATCCACCAGGGCAAGTGTATTGGTGCCAGTGAGGGGTTCTTGATTCATCAAGGCAAGTGTCTTGATGCCAGTGAGATTTTATTCACCAAGTGCCTTGATGCCAGCGAGGGGCTCTTGATCCATCAAGGCAAGTGCCTTATGCCAAAGAGGTTCTTGATCCACCAGGGCAAGTGAATTGACGCCAGTGAGGGATTCTTGATCCACCAGGGCAAGTGCCTTAGTGCCGGTGAGGGGCTCTTGATCTATCGAGGCAAGTGTCTTGATGTCAGTGGGGTTCTTAATCCACCAGGGTAAGTGCCTTGATACCAACGAGTGGCTCTTGATTCATCAAGGCAAGTGTCTTAATGCCAGCGAAGGGTTCTTGCTCCACCAAGGAAAGTGCCTTGATGCCAGAGGGGGCTCTTGATCCACCAAGACAAGTACCTTGATGTCAAGGAGGGGCTCTTGGTCAACCAAGACAAGTGCCTTGATGCCAATGAGGGGTTCTTAATCTACCAAGTGTCTTGATGCCAGTGAAGGACTTGATCCATCAAGGCAAATGCCGTGACAATGAGGGGCTCTTGATACACCAAGGCAAGTGCCTTGATGCCAGTGAGGGGGCTCTTGATCCATTAATGCAAGTGCCTTGATGCCAGTGAAGGGTTCTTGCTCCACCAAGGCAAGGCCTTGATGCCAGTGAAAGGTTCTTGCTCCACCAAGGCAAGTGCCTTGATGCCAGTGAAGGGTTCTTGCTCCACCAAGGCAAGTGCCTTGATGCCAGTGAAGGGTTCTTGCTCCACCAAGGCAAGTGCCTTGATGCCAGAGAGGGGATTCTGATCCAATGAACGGGATTTCACCTCCCCTTCCTTAGAGCGAACATGAATGCCTCCCACTTCTCAGGAGCTGTATGACCGCCCATGCATTATAAAGATGTTAAACTGGAACATCCCATCATTTAGCTATCACCTACTTCCCTCCCATCTAGAAGACACCGTCAACCAGGTTACAAAATATATTGATCTGACAGCGTCACAATGAGAGGAAATGTCCGCCTTGCCAGTAGATGACGCAGTCTCCACAGATGTTCTTTCTCCCATGGATAAAGCGGGGTATATAACCCCTTTCTCGATGGGTTGACGTCATTACTCTTTCCGAAGCAACGATTCACCATGGCTGGTGGTCTCAAGATGGTCGTCTGTACGATTGTGTTCAGCAGCCTAGTCGTGGCCACCCTTGCTCAGTTCTACGTCTTTAATTTTGACAACAGTTTAGAAGACTGGGAGCCCAACAGAGGTTCATGGCACTGGGAAAAGAGAGATAACTCACCTAATCCTCTGCCACCATCAGGCACCGATGGCTTCGCTATAATGGATAGCGAGTATGACAGCGATGAACTCTTCTCGCCCTACTTCAACTGTAATAATGGTGGTAACTTCTCTGTGACCTTCTTTATGAGATCTCACTATTTAGATTCCAGCAATATGTACATCAACATATACGTGCACGACGGCAGATATGGTGATGTCTTCCTTGATATGAACGAATATTCCACACCAGACACCGACCACTGGATTACTATGACGAAGGAATTACCACAAGTGGATGAGCCAATAATGGTATGTTGTATCCATAAATTATTAGTATTACAAGTCTACATTTACATTCTAAGCTGGTATCTTACCTCAGCTCATACTAAAGCTCAGCCTTATCTAGTATATACTACCCCACCCCAGGAAGTGACCCATAAGTGTCAACTAACACCCATGTACTTATTGACTGCTAGATGACAAGTGTCAGTGTCAGTGAGTGAGTGAGTGAGTGAGTGTGTGTGTGTGTGTGTGTGTACTCACCTAGTTGAGGTTGCGGGGGTCGAGTCCGAGCTCCTGGCCCCGCCTCTTCACTGATCGCTACTAGGTCACTCTCCCTGAGCCGTGAGCTTTATCATACCTGTGCTTAAAGCTATGTATGGATCCTGCCTCCACTACATCGCTTCCCAAACTATTCCACTTACTGACTACTCTGTGGCTGAAGAAATACTTCCTAACATCCCTGTGATTCATCTGTGTCTTCAGCTTCCAACTGTGTCCCCTTGTTACTGTGTCCAATCTCTGGAACATCCTGTCTTTGTCCACCTTGTTAATTCCTCTCAGTATTTTGTATGTCGTTATCATGTCCCCCCTATCTCTCCTGTCCTCCAGTGTCGTCAGGTTGATTTCCCTTAACCTCTCCTCGTAGGACATACCTCTTAGCTCTGGGACTAGTCTTGTTGCAAACCTTTGCACTTTCTCTAGTTTCTTCACGTGCTTGGCTAGGTGTGGGTTCCAAACTGGTGCCGCATACTCCAATATGGGCCTAACGTACACGGTGTACAGGGTCCTGAATGATTCCTGATGTGTGTGTGTGTGTGTGTGTGTGTGTGTGTGTGTGTGTGTGTGTGTGTGTGTGTGTGTGTGTGTGTGTGTGCTCACCTATTTGTGGTTGCAGGGGTCGAGTCATAGCTCCTGACCCCAACTCCTCACTGATTGCTACTAGGTCCTCTCTCTCCCTGCTCCATGAGCTTTATCATACCTCGCCTTAAAACTATGTATGGTTCCCGCCTCCACTACTTCACTTTCTAGGCTATTCCACGGCTTGACTACTCTATGACTGAATAAATACTTCCTAACATCCCTTTGATTCATCTGAGTCTTCAACTTCCAATTGTGACCTCTTGTGTCTGTGTCCCAACTCTGAAACATCCCGTCTTTGTCCACATCGTCTATTCCGCGCAGTATTTTATATGTCGTTATCATGTCTCCCCTGACCCTCCTGGCCTCCAGGGTCGTCAGGCCGATTTCCCTTAACCTTTCTTCGTAGGACAATCCCGTAGCTCTGGGACTAGTCTTGTTGCAAACCTTTGCACTTTCTCTAATTTCTTGACGTGCTTGACTAGGTGTGGATTCCAAACTGGTGCTGCATACTCCAGTATGGGCCTGACGTAAATGGTATACAGTCTTGAACGACTCCTTACTGAGGTATCGGAACGCTATCCGTAGGTTTGCCAGGCGCCCGTATGCTGCAGCAGTTATCTGATTGATGTGCGCCTCAGGAGATATGCTCGGTGTTATACTCACCCCCAGATCTTTTTCCTTGAGTGAGGTTTGCAGACTTTGGCCATCTAAACTATATTGTGTCTGCGGTCTTCTTTGCCCTTCCCCAATCTTCATGACTTTGCATTTGGCGGGGTTAAACTCAAGGAGCCAGTTGCTGGACCAGGCTTGTAGCCTCTCCAGGTCTCTTTGTAGTCCTGCCTGATCCTCATCCGATTTGATTCTTCTCATTAACTTCACATCGTCCGCAAACAAGGACACTTTTGAGTCTATCCCTTCCGTTATGTCATTCACATATACCAAGAACAGCACAGGTCCTAGGACTGACCCCTGTGGAACCCCGCTTGTCACAGGCGCCCACTTTCACACCTCATCACGTACCATGACTCGTTGTTGCCTCCCTGTCAGGTATTCTCTTATCCATTGCAGTGCCTTTCCTGTTATGTGTGCCTGATCCTCTAGCTTTTGCAGTAACCTCTTGTGAGGAACTGTGTCGATTATTATTATTATAATCAAAAAGAAGCGCTAAGCCACAAGGACTATACAGCACTGCAGGGCAGGAAGGAAGCAAGTGCCCGCACCTACATAACCCATTCTATATAGCGCTGACCTTGTAGCTAGAATTCCCATAAAGAATCTATAAACCACTTCACGAACCCTTGGCTTTAATCTGATCTTCCGAAAGTCTTCCCAAATGCCCCTCCAATCATACATCGGGTATGTTGCTACTCCCTGTATCACTTTACCCTGCCTACCTGTCCTCCCAAGCCTACTTTTTTTTTATATTTTATTTCAAACTCAGGTACAAAATATATGGGTACATAATCAATATGTAACAAGATAGAGGCAGTGAACAATAATCAACTGTGACTACACAGTACTGAAGAAGCACATATATAATGACAGAACTGGCTGCTGCACTCAAATCAAACACCGCTTGTACGTACTGTGCTTCACATGAACACCGCTTGTACGTACTGTGCTTCACATGAAAAGGTGGTCATACATACATATACATATATATATATATACATATACACACACACATATATACATATATACATACATATATATATACATATACATATACATACGTATACACATATATACATATACACATATACATACATATACACATACACACACATACATACATATACAACCCACCCAGTAAAGCTTACACTCCCCCCCCCCATGAAAACGTGCCAC